CGCGGCATTGGCGGGCACCTTTCTACACCGATTGTCGGGATTTAGGTGCAGACACACACACAGACACACTCGTGTTGGGATTTCCCCTTTCCCATTTTCCGCAACCCCAAGCCGCTTTTCCTGGCCGTGGAGCCGAGGGAAACTTGAAGTAGGAGGAGGAGGAGGAGGCCACCGCCCAGTCCATCAGCACCAATCCGTTAAATATTTTAATGGCCAACAAAAGCATTTTTCGCAACGAATTTACGATAATTCAAGTTAAATATTTGCTCGAGTTCTGGGTCTTTAAATGTTTGTTCTTTCAGATTGAAGACACACACACCAAATTAATAAGCACAGCTCTTCCAATTGAAGGAAGATCCTAAAAAAATCTATAATATAAAATAAATAAATGTCTATACGCTGATATATAAAATTTATTTATTTTTTAGATGGTAAAATATTTCTTAAGCTAAATTAGATTTTTCGTGGCTTAAGTCAAGCCATTCGACCTACAATTAAAAATTAAATATAAAACTTGAAATTAGAAGATAATTATAGACACTTAAATCTTAATTTCAGAAAATAAATATATTTTTCTGCTAAAACAAAAATATTTGCTAGTTTGTTAAGTTTATTTATAATTTCAACTAAATCAAGCATTTAATTAGATGAATATTTAATTTGATTGTACAATTCTAAGGTTACTTCCTTCCTTCCGAAGTTTTTAAAGTTTATAATAAAACAAATGTATGTATATATAGATATTGTATAATAAAAATAAATTAATTCACCATTTAAATTATTTTATTTCTCTAAAATGATAGGTATAATATAACTAATTTAATAAAGTTGGGGAGACTGACTTGAACTTTATAATGCTAAAAGCTTAAATGTAAAACATCTGAAAAAATATAACCCTTAATTTTAATAGTTTTTAAAATATCTTTAAGATACCAAGTTTAAAGCAAAGTTTATTCGCCCAACAGAACTTCTGTTGCCAAGACAAAGCATTTCTATAACTGTTATGGCCAAGTTAACATTCGCTTAGCCGCCGAAAATGACATCTCTAGTTCTTATTTCCAAGCTGATAAGTCGGATAAGTATGGAGACATAACCATTTCGGGTTTGTAATGTCAGCGGGGGAAACTTTCAACTCGGAGGACTCAACGTTTATTGGCCGACCAAGTGCTGCTCCATTCTTTTTTACGATTGCCATACTGCGGTGTGAATGTGGCTCACATATGCTCCCCTGATTGTGGGTAATTGTCATGTAATAAAAGCGAGAATCATGCTCTGCATCTCCTTGGGCTTAGTGGGTGATGTTATGTGATGAGACCGACCGAAGTGGAATAATGCCACCCTCAAAAGTGGATGATATCTCCAAAAACAACTATTTGAGTCAGCAAATTTTTCAAAACACATTCTGGACATTGGATGGTGGAAATACGTCCCTGCTTATCTACCCATTCTCCACACCTGTGTGTAATTATTGCGGACCTTTAGCCACTCGTAAATTATATGTGATCCCTATAGCTAATAGGTAATTTATGTTCTGACCGCAAAACAAACCAACAGCAACGAAAAAAGGATAAACTTTGCCCGCAAAAAAGTTAAACAAATGTCCACGGATTTGGTGTCCATTAGCCTCTGGGTCGGAAAAGCGGGAGAAAGGGGTTGGACATGTCGTCTTGTGTGCACTGGTCACCTCTGGTGGAAAAAGATACACTACCCACATCAGGTCCTTTTTCGGGCAAGGGCAATCTAATTACAAAGGCCTCGGGCACATGATATCCTTTGCCTGCCCAACCCCCTTTTCTATATGTGAGTATCCGTACGTATTTCTGCAACTTTAAAGAGACACTTTAAATAATCCATTAGCAAGGCCTGCGAAAGAGTAAGGGACTTAAAAGCTAAAACCTGTTGAGTTACATCTCAATTCCCCAAACACTTGGCTAACTAAAAAGCCAAGGGCCCCCACTCCTTACCCCTTTTTGCGATTTCTCCCCGAGAAAATTCACTTTGTCTATACGTCTTGGCACAGATTATGGCTGCTTTGAATAACAATCGATGGCGCGACATTGATGGAGGATGGCGAGCAAAGGAATGGATTCCATTGTCTGGGTCCTAGTGCTTTTCCTCGGGCATTTTATTACCGTCTGGAGTGGCTGCATTTCCCTGGTTTCCCTCTTTCTACTTATTTTTTTCTGCCTCTGATGTTCGAAAGCTATAAATGGTTTTTGTCATTTCGACTATCGATGGCAAAGTGAATTTTTACGACGGTAATATGCATGCCAACGGATCACAGATTTTGCCAATACAAATCGCTGACCCCTTTAGACCAACCACATCATTAGCATAATCATCATCATCATTATCACCATCAGCGGTGATTTGTTCTAGCTTGATTAATGAAGTTATTCAATCAAATCGAAGCAGACTGGGTCAATGAATTCTCATTAAACCCATTTTCGATGTGCATATTAATGAGTTTGCTGCGAACACAGGTGACATAATCAACCGAGTTATTAACTTGTCCATGTTCGTAAATCAATTTAAAAGAGTTTTCTTGCACTTCACGAGACTCGAGAGTCTCGCTCACAACTTCAATTATAGGATTACAATCCGCCTCAAAGTTGACCTTGTTCAGAGCATTAAGTTCAAGATCTCTAATTTCATTGAGCTTTATTCCTCCGCTCCGAAATCCCATCTTAAGTTGCTTGTCGAGTTCCAAGTTCCAAGACCCGAAACCAGAAATCGCAACTAGGAACAGAACCACTTTGAGTCATCGGCTTCATGACTTCTATATCTCCCATCTGAATACAATTGAATTATAATTGTTTTCGCTGGCAAACGTACTTTATTTCATTTTTATTTCTGCCCATTCGTTTGTGCACACGCCGAATGGCCAACAATGTGCAGTGTCTGAGACTTTGACGATTATCATAAATAATTTCATTACAATAACACTATGCAGCATCAAAAATTAACCTCGATGAATGCTATATTTTTGGATTCGTTACGAATTCCCAAGTTAAACTGCGTTTTCCAAAGAGTTCCCCGACGCAAGGATTCTTAGCAAAAGGACCTCAAAGTTCGAAAAATGCCGAAATTGACCAACTTTGCGGAGCTCTCAGAGGCAAATGGATGCATGGCTTGGTTCGAAGTTAAAGTTTTTTAAAAGATACACCCTTTATCTTTCAAACCCCATACATAAAATAATTTTAGGATTTTTTTAAGGCAGAAATAAATTTCAAAAAACATAGTCAAAAAACTGAAAAACATACAGCTGCGGTCAACATAGTAGCAGAGTTGCCGCCTTGTGTTTTTAAAAGTTTCATGTTGTAATTTTTTCTTATCCAATTAGTCTAATAGTAAAATTATAATCAATACAATATTACCAGGAAAAAATCAATTACAACAACAAACTTTTAAATACACAGGGCGGCAACACTACTACCATTTTGACCGCAGCTGTATACTTTTATGTTTTTTGACTATGTTTTCTAGAATTTGTTTCTGCCTTAAAAAAAATCTTAAAAATTTTTTAAGTATGGGGTTTAAAAGATAAAGGGTGTATCTTTTAAAAAACTTTAACTTCGAACCAAGCCATGCATCCATTTGCCTCTGAGAGCTCCGTAAAGTTGGCCAATTTCAGCATTTTTCGAACTTTGAGGTCCTTTTGCTAAGAATCCTTGCGTCGGGGAACTTTTTGGAAAACGCAGTTTAACTTGGGAATTCGTAACGAATCCAAAAATATAGCATCCATCGAGGTAAATTTAAAAAGCACTAAAAATGCTGCACAGTGTAATTAGTAATGCACGCCTAATGATGTTCAGGAAAAATGATTTGCATATTTTGGATACTCTTCTTAGGAATTAATTAAAAGATAAGACTTAAAAAAAAGAAATGCAAATAAAAGATAAATTCATAGAAAACAAATTTGTGAGATTTATTCACTCAGAAAATGAATCGCCCTGAATTTTAGAAAATCGCCTATGGATTTGCTTCACTGGCGATTTTTTTCTTTAAAATAAAAAAATTTTCTACTGGTAAAGAAAATTTTCTTCCAATTAATCAAAATTCATTAAATTCAAGAAATATTCCAGAAATATAGAAAAAAATCGCCAGTAAAGCAAATCCATAGGCGATTTTCTAAAATTTTTTTTTGAGTGTTGGATGGGTTTCATTTAAATAATTTATTTATAAAATTCTTGATAATCATAACAAGCTGTCGTAGTTATCGGTTTATCTATTACCCTTATTTTAATAATAAATAAATATTAATTCATTAAATATTCAAAATATATAAAATGTTCTTGTAATAAAAATGGTTTTCCATAAAGTAGTTTTTCTTAAAATATATTGTTTTTTTGCAAAAAAAAAAATGTATTAAACCTTAGAACCTATAATACCAAACATCTCCTTATTATCATTATATCTTTTACCTACAAATCAAATCTCTTACCATATTCATGATACCCAGAATCGCCTAATTTGTTCACTACTGATGGATAAAAATATCTTCAAATCAAACAATGCACAAAACAATCACCGACGTCAAAGGGGGAGGAGAAAAAGCTGAGGTGATCAGCCGCAAAACAAATTAATCAGCGAGGCAATCAGCGACAGCCATCGCAAATTAACCGCGAATATGAATCAAAGTTTTTGCCATACCCTGACCCACTGTGCGGGTTAATTTGGGGATCTTACGGGATGGCGGGGACAAGCGCCGACAAATGACAAAAGACGAAACAAAACTAACAAATTTTTGGCTCATTATTTGTTCTGGCTCCTCCACAAGAGCCACAAAAAAGACCAAACACTTCATTATAAACAGATCGCGTTGAGGGGGAATACAGGGGGTATATCTGGGATCTCCGGCTCAAAAGCTTACAGCGATCGCTGGGTGTTCCAGTGCTTTCAGTCGTCCAACGACAGCATCCAACATCAGTCGCTAGTTGCGGAATCCACAGAAGCTTCAGAATCGGCAGATACATTGTTCACCTGAGTGATCTTACAAGATGTTTGGCAATCATCGGCTTATGGTAATTGTGATTGATCGCCAACGGTGAAAACAATAAAAATATACAAGTTGCCATTGGCGCTGTACATTTTTTTAACAGCCAAATAATTTGTATCTTCTAGACTGTGAAAACTATTTTAATCACCTTGCATTTATTTTAAATATAGCTTTTAAAGTTCAAGTTCATTAAATCTTGAGAGGCCGTTAAAAAAATAAAATAGGCAAACCCAAAAAAATGTAAATTTTCAAAATTTTATTTAATTTAATTTAAATCTTATTGGAATCAAAAAATACTATTACCGTGTGTTCGAGTTTTATTTGGCCAACCACTTTTTTCAATTTAAAATTATAAATGTATACATTTTAGCTAATAATACTTTTTATTAACTTCAAATTAAAATATTTATATCCAATTTATTTCTAAGGACAATGAGCATTTAAATGTAACCAAACAAAAAAGAGATTGATTAAATTATTTGAAATATTCCAGCTCTGCTTTTTCTGCTTGGTCGCATTGACCACTGTGTCCCTGGCCATCGAGGAGTCCTCGGACATCGAGGAGGATGTGATCAGCATTGCCAACCAGACGCAGAAGGTGATCCGCGTGCATCCGCAGGACCTGCCGCCCAAGAAGGACAACACCGGCAGCCAAATGAACTCGGCCTTCTTCCAGATCCAAACCCTGCGTCCGGTCACCGAATCCAAGCCGCGTCAGTACGTGGACTCCAAGCAGATGCGGAAGAGGCGTCCTCGACCCGCCAAGCTGATGGGTGGCGGAGGAGGTGGTGGAGATGTGGCCGCCAGTGGTGAAGATGCGACGCAGCCAGCCTTGAAATACGAACTAAAAGCCTCTCCCAAGCAGAAACTCAAGCAGCAGAAGCAACTGAACTTGGACGCTAGGCAGCAGGTGGATCGGGTGGAGGTCCAAGGTCAAGTATTACCCGTCCAGATGACGCCGGGCCCCTATCCCATCTACTACGTGGTGTCCAAGACCAACGGGCGCTTCGGCAAGTTCCCCATCAAGTCGTTTCGCTCGCCGTCGGAGTTCGCCAAGTATCTGGTGAAGAGCAAGGCGGAGCCCATCGCCAGGGATCAGCGATTCGAGGTGATCTTGTGATCTTCTCTCTTCTCTCTTCACTTAGTCAAAGCTAAAGTCTAAATTATTACCACCTAATCGTAGTCGTAACTATAATATTATAAATGCTAATTGCCGCAATAAACCCATGTCTAAATTTAGCCAATGAAACAAAAGCCAAAACATTTGAGTCATAGTTTAAAGATTCTCTCCCTTAATTGCTGGGTTTTTCTTTATTTTTATGGTATCTACGCTCTGGTAATTACATGGCATCTATCTTCATCTCTGACTCCATCCGCGGAGTTTAGCTAACTGTTTTGCTAGCTGTTAACTGGCCTTGTCATATGCTAATTTGCCAGCGAATCGAATCGAGTGTCGCGTATAATTAAGCCCCGCATACCCGTAACTATTGTCTAGCCTTTACATACAAACAGGCGCACAATGGATACATAAATACATAGATTTGTAGATACATTTGATTTATGGCGTTCCCCTTTCGGCGGCTTTCTTGCGAATATCTATCCAAGTGTCGTTTGCCTTTGTCTTTCTTCTGGTTCCTTTTGTTTGTGGAGATTCTACGACTGCTTTCTTCGCTAAACTACAGAACTTTCTCCCAGCCCATATTTAGAATATGATATTGTTTATAGATATGCATATTTAGTTTGGATATAAAAAATGGTTCTAAAATTTAAAAAAGGTTGATGAGTGCTTTATCATAATTGTTTCAGTAAAGCTTCGATTTTTCAACTGTCCTTGATTTTTGTTTCTAAAAAAAATCATTCTTTAAATCATTATTTATTGTATATTACATTTGTTTTAAAAGTAAGGCTTTTAAATACCAAGTGAGTGATTTTTGTAAACCAAGGAAAACTATTGATTTTGTCGATACTGATTTCTGTTATTTACCTCCAATTCGATCAATTAAATTGTGAATAATTGAACACTCATAATTACAATCAGCGGATTACATCGAAATCATCCATCCGCAATCAGGAAAAACTGTCAGATACTTTTCATCCGACTCCGCAAATCAGAAGCGAATGGAGGAAATAATAATTGAGATTTTTATGGCACACATGTAACTGGGGGTTGTGTCTCTAAGTCTGGTTAATCAACCTGCCTGTAGAACCCCTCCCCGACTCCAGAAAATACCCCACTCCATCACCCACTGCATTTCCCATTACTTTTGCTCATTTCGACTCCGGCGAATGTGTAATGAACTTGTGGGCATGACGAGAAAGCTGGAACAAAGTGTGATATCGAAATTTCCCAAAGGATTCAACGCCATATTTTTGCCAGCCACGAAAAAGATTCCTTCCTTGCAGGACTCCCCTTTCTCCTTCTTCCACCTCTTCGAATGTGTGTGCGTGCAAAATACAAGGCGAAAAAAGGAAGAAAGCACCCAAAAAGAAAATCTTAAGGCAGCTTCTACAACTAGCAAGCCGAAGTTTTGTGGGACTCGTATAATCAAGCGTAAAAATGCGAAATTAATCAACTTCAAGTCTCAAGTTAACAACGCACAAGGAATTGAATTAAAACTTTTCGCCCCCCATTTTCACCCCTTTTCCCGGGAAACCTGCCCTGCGAGCGCGGGTTTATTCAATTATGTATTTGCGCTTGTCCTGCAGTAAAAATTACAATCCACGGGACAAGTCAACAGAATTATGAACACGCCTGGGCAGTAAAAAGTAAATAAAATTCCAGCTTCGCGGAAAAGAAAGACCAAAAAAAGTGTATATATTTTTCAAACTTTTCTCGGCGACAGAAGCGAGGATTTTTTTTTCGTTTCTGCCGTTTCGGGTGAGTTTCTTTTCTGCGGTAATTGCAACGTCTCGCTGTCCTCGGGGAAATGTGAAACAATAAATGAAAATAAATGAATTTTTGTTAGCCCAATGGCCAGCAACCTCGGCCAACTGCCGCCGGGCGTAAGGAACGTAAAAAATTTCATTAATTTCCAGCTTGCCAGCTAACCGCCAACTTGATAACTTAACTTCATTTGGGGCCTGAAAACGTTTTCTCTCTGCCAATCGAATGACATTTGACAGCCCCTCGAAGTTCGAACTTCAAGAACGTTCAAGGATCCAGAGAAAAGGACGCAAGGAACAAGGAGTACAAGTGCAGGACCAGTCGAAAGCCATTTGATCAAAAATTAATGTGTAGTTTGGAACATTCTGTCACATTATACGCGTGTCAGACTGTTTAAAGGGTTACAAATTGGGCAGCCAAAGACAACACAGCCAGGTGCCGAGGGGTGGAAATTTTCGAAGAAAAGCACTCACCTTGGTTTTATGTTTATTTATATTTATTAGAATTATTACTAAAATTTTTAAATAAATGTAGATAAAAAATTAAATTATATTTAAATTCAAAGCTTGAACTTTAAGTCCTTTTCAATCTACAACATACATTTTACGCAATATAATTTAAATTGGAAATGTAGCATAAATATTTCAAAAGAGTAACTTATTTACAGATTGAATTGTTCCTCTTTCCGTATCTAATTAACTTCTAAAAAATCAGGAAATTATTTATAAATTATTATTAATATTTTTTAAGCTATTTCAACCCACTGTGCACATAGGCATCACCATCGGCACTGCCAAGTTTGGCCCATAAAAAACCGTGCCCTCATGTCCTCGAGACGTTGTTACTGACAGCCCCGTGAAAAGGAGCAGGACCAGAAACACAAACTTTGCGACAGGCCCACCGAAAAAAAAGGAAGAAAAAATGGTGACCCCAAGCAGGCCAGGATCGGTGGAAGGATGAGGAGGAGGAGCAGCAGCAAGGACCAAGGGAGCAGGTCGGCCGAGAACGACGCTGCTTAAATATTAATGCCCCGGGAGTCGGTGGGGCAGACCATGAATAAATTTTTGGCTATGAATTTTCAATAGCCCGTCGTCCTGCTCTTAAACTACGTTTGCAATTTGTTCCACGACTTTAAGAGTGTCAACCACTCGCAGTAGAGTTTGCAGGGCATTAGGTGTCAGGTGAGTCACCGCAGAACCAAAAATCGAACCGCAAAAGGGTCAGCGGAATGGAATTCATTTCGATTTTCAATTCCGTTTCCTGTGTGACGCAGTGTTGCTCCATTTTCGACCCCGTTTCCAACTCCCAATGCGTGGGAACTTTACGATCATGCCCTTCCAGGACAAAAAGGATGCTGGAGGGAGTGGCGGTGGACACGTGCGTATGGCGCCAATTGCCAAATGACCGCAAAAGCTCAGAGGTCGAGTGGCCTGGTCATAGATGGCCCAATAAATGCTGTTCAATATTGCACGGAGAACAATATACTAAGAACATTGATACCATATAAAACGTAAAAATAAACTCAGAATTACAAAATACAACTTAAAAATTATTAAAAATAATTATAAATACATTTTAACTTATGCGGTTAAAGATATAATTAATATTATCTTCAATATTGAATACATTTTTTCTTATTAGTATAATATAGTACGGAGTTAATATTGCATTGAAAAAAAGTATATTTCTAACTTAACTTTACTACTATATGCTTACATTCAAATATAAACTAATCATATTAATTTTAAGCAGTAAAAATATGTATTTCTAAAACAATTTCTTTTAAAATATGAATATCAAACATTATCCTAGATACTTATTAATTAAGAATCAAATTAAATTTTTCTCTGTGTGCCCTCGGAGTCCTAATCAAAATCCAAACTCCAGGCGGAAGTGCTCTACTCCCAGCACCCAGTCCAACCACCCGGGCATCACGAACCCAAACTGACATTGCCCACTGATTTTATTTGCTCATTCGAAGCACTTTATGAAGCTTTTATTTGATTTTTATGCCAGCCGCTATTTCCATTTCTGTAATTGAATTGTCATTGTGCGGGCGAAAGCCACGCAGCTAACCACTGACTACTGGTTGGTCCTCGTTGAAGTCCCTGTTGTTTTTGGACATCCTTGCGGCTCTGGTTGTTCTGGTTGGTCAGCCTTGGCGCCCGTCCACCCGTTCGATATGTCCGGACATGTCAAAAACGGTTTTGCGCTTGATTGGCGCTCGGACCCCCGGATAAACACCCGAACACCCAAAGGTATACAAAAGTGACGGACGCAGGACAAAGGACTCAGGACACAGGACGTGGCACGTCCCGGAGAAAAAAGGGTTGCGGTCACAAAGTTCCGCCCCAAGGCCATGGAATTGGTATAAAAATTGCCAGTTAGAAGTGTCCATTCATTGGCAAATTGCCGCAATTGATGTGGAATGGGTGGGTTGGTTCCGAAAACTTAGTGGCTGGGTGATGTGCTAAAATGTTGCCTCACAGAAGTGAGCAAATAAAAGTGTCACAGGGAGAAAAGCAATTTGAAGTTTTTTCTTGACCGGGGGGAAAGTGTTTTCATCTCTAGAAAACCTGACACACCTGCTGAGATTGCAACGATAAAAGGATATAAAACAGAAGATATCCTTACTGAGATTTCCTAGTAATGGTAAACTAGAGGTTGAAAGTATTTATAATCCTTACAGCTTTAGAAATCCTGCCATAGAATAAACCTACTAGTATTTGAAAACTTATGGACAGATTTTTAAAATGCAACCAAAAGACTTACTTTTCCTTTCATTTATAAAATAATCTTGGAGTCTTCTTTAAGATTTTCATGGTAATGAAACTCCGAGAAAAATTTATAAATGTTAACCGAAATAAATTTAAATAGTAGAAACCAATAAAGAATATTTTATATTAATATACATATTATCACAAAATAAAAAATTATATTCTTTCACAAAAGGAATATTTTTTTTTTGGTACATATATCATTTTAAATGTCCTTAGGATCTCCTTCTCCAAAAAACACGTTCCACCTGTTCAAAAATGCAAACTCTTCTTTTGCACACTCTTCGATGCCCATTTCGAGGACAATTTGAGCAGTTTTCATATTTAAAATTCCCAAAATGGTGCTACGTGAGATAATAATCGTTACATTTAATGGGATGCCAGCTCCTGGCCCTGCAGATATATGTATTTCGCATTCGAGATACTTTCAGCACTTTCAAAGGGGGGCCAGGAGGAGATAAATTTTAAGGAAAAGGGTTTTCCGTTTTCTTGCGATGAGTTGGCAACAAGAGAAGTTGGCAACAACCCCGGGCTCTTGGCATCGTTAAACTTCCGCCGGATGTGCCATTAGCTGGGGTGATTTGGGGGCAATC